CTGGATACAATCATTAGTTAATGGAGTGTGCCATATATCAGGTATCCTCAGGTTTAGTGTATGCAGTTTAGTTGATGATAGTAGAGATACTGTACTATTAGTAGATGAATAGCGGAGTTCAATCCTCTTATGATTATTATTAATATTACTAATCACTTCATTACACTGAGCTGGAGATGGAGATATAAGGGTTACCATGCCACTGCGTTGCCAGTCCACACTCTCCCTGACTCCTAATATAAACCAAAGGATTGTACTTATATACATGTATGTACATAATAATACACATATTCACATCATGTGTATATACAAACACACACAACTTGCTAGTTGTCACTACAACCAATAAACAAATACACACACACAATACATATGTACATACATACACACATGTAATGTGTACATATGTAGGGACAGGAATGTACTACACAGTACACGCACATACTGTTATTACACTATAGTATACAGTATACTAGTATATACACAAAATTACCTTTATCATGTAGTTCCTTGTCTTGTCTCAGTGCAGATATCATAATAGGATCATCATTAATAGTCTTCAAGAAAAGAGAAGCTTTCTCATCATTACTAGATGAATCATTCCTTATCTTCTGTAGAATAGGAAGGGACACTTCTTCCACGGGCTGACAGTATAAACTCTAACAATTGAAGTGACTCCAACATTGAGTAAACACAACTACTAGGAATGAGTCCCTCATCACGGTCATCACCAGACACCAAGGATCTTTCTTTCCACCAAAAACCATTCTTTTTATATATCTCCAGCTGCTCTCCCTCACTGAATGAAAGATCATTTCTGTCAATTCCATGATAGTCAATACGTGCTGTGTAAATAGATTCTGCTGTTGGTGTATAATCCTTCCCTATACAATAATCAACCATTTAATCTATTATGCATGTACAATCTATAATTTTTTTATAGATTGTGGATTTGTAATAAAAATTTTTGAGCATTAAAAGAAGATTTCCAACTAATAAAAATATCAAGCTATCCTTGGTGTATAGTAAATAATTGTATTCACAAACCAATGACAACGTACCGGTATCTGCTCAATATTGATACATGTACTAAATCAGTAAAACTCACTTCCAGCAGTTAATAGAATTTCTTTTATTTGAGTGTGTCCTCCTTCATTAGCTATCTCTACTGCACTCTTTCCTCTCTTATCTTTACTGTTAGGATCAGCTCCTAACTGCAGTAGCATTGATACTTCAAAACTATCACCAGCTTTAACTGATTCATGAAGTGAAGCTTCAAAATTGTTATCATCTTCTCTTCTGATAGGAATCACTTTATTGTCAACAGCAACTTCCAATATTCCTAATCTACTCATTGAGTTTGTTTTGTTATTGATAGTATCAATAATAGACTGTGATAGTGAGGTTGGTATTGACAGTGTAATGACAAATGACCCATAATCAAAGCTAATGTGACTGAAGAGATCTGACGTTAGTCCAAAGTAATGCTTGAGGACTGTCTTGAGTTTACTTATTGTCATTTCTTCCCATCTGTC